CTGCATCACCCATTTCCTCGCCAATATTGTGTTCACCGGTGGCTTGTGGGTCCAGCTCTTCGGAAGCACTCCATTGTCGAGGCATCTGTGAAGAAATTCTATTTGCGCGTATGTTGAAGACACTCGAAGTGCAAAGATTTTCCATCGTCGTGCTGACTGTAGCGCTTCGCGCCCGAATAAATTGCTGATATAAGCGAAAATGCGTGTTCCTGGACATAATGTTATTCATCGATGTGGAGCCTGTATATATATGCTCATAAAGTTTTCTGTCAAATTTCTAGACGTTTTCCACTAAGATCACCGACTTCAACATCTTCTTTCAATTCTTAAATAGTGCGGTTGAAAATGCCCTTTGTCCGCACTTAAGGGCTGGCATAGTTTGTTCTTAATTTTATTCGATGGCCTAGAATATTTATCCTTCGAGTTAGTGCAAAAGTGCCTAAGTTGAGAGCACATGCTATCACCTCGATGATTTGAAGGCCATTGTTATATTCCCTCTTTATTGTTTTGTAAACATAGAAAATACTTTAGCCTTCCTAGCCATCTATTTTAATTCACTGATTGGCTCAGTACCTATTCGTTGTAATTGTCAGGACGCAACTTTGGTTCATTCGAGGTCGCCAATTCTGAACCATCGAATATGTGTTCAAAACATTCATCCAAAAGTATCTCGTCAAAACCGAGGAAGTTTTCCCTGATGGCGCCTAAGATACCTATGAGTTTTGTTGATATCTTGGCGCAGGGAGTGATTCAGTTTAGTTTGTAAGCCATTTTCCCTCTAGCAATAAGAGGAGACATTTAGTCGTTTCCTAAGTAACATCTTTCTTGATGGATCTTTTCTTGCAGGCCTACACGAATGTAGCTAAGCAGTTGTCCAGCCTTCTTACCGAGGATTCAGAAAAAACGAGTTCCGCCGGACGGGCCTCAGAAGAAATATACAAAAAGTGCGTTTCTTGGTTGCTCCTAAACACGCAGGGATAGCCATTGATGTTAATGTTTGCTTCCTACATTCTTCGGTTGCACCCTTCTCTCTAAAGTTTTCTTTGCTCCCACTCATCTAGTCTGCAATCCGTCCTAATTTGCCTTGCGGAAAGAATTACATCACTAAAAAGCAGGATTTGCTGGGCAGGCCAACATGTGAATATTTGTCACAAACTAAACATCCTTTCCTCACGAATCGCCTCCCTCCATTGTGCCCTACTAGGCTCCTTATCGGAGAGACCCTTTTTGCGTAACCTGTATGCCCTCGAGGTTGGTCTTAGACAGGAATTATTACGGTTAACTTTGCTCCTCGTTTTGCGCACCTAATTTGCCTCTCCCCTTTTATCCTTTTTTGCAGGGATTGGAGATGGAAGTAGACCAACTGCGTGACCACCTAGAGGCCTGTGTCTGCGATGATACTTTTGCTGCAAATACCGATTTTCGAAGCTTTTATTCTTTGGCAACTGATCAAGTGGGTCAGTTGTCTCGGTGTCTCCTGGAATGTCGTCCACAACTGCCGACTCTTCAACTCTGCCTGGACGCCATCCAACGATTAGAGGAATTGTGCGATCTGTGCACTGCGTTGCAGCCTCGTCTGGACCACTTTGATGAGGAAGTCTTATTTCGACCAACGCCGATTTCGTCGAAATCCTTCGTCCAAGAGTTCGAGGTAAAAAGAGACCCACTTTTTATACGTGAAACCACACCTTCTAATCTTTTTCAGGTCCAACAGTGTATAGCTTCAAAACTGGATGTATGAACGGTGCGATACTTTGGTTAAAAGGGTGTGGTATTTCAACTCGGAAAAAGAAGATGCGATCACTGGAACAAGAGTTTTATTTTCCTGACGTTTCGAATTCTGTCGAGAATCCTTTATCATAGGTAATAGTAGGAAAGTCGGGGACATGCACATGTTGTAGACTATTTTCGTCCAGGATTCTTCCTTCTGGGCACTGTTTTATAGCTAATAATTCTGGATTTTGGGGCCTTGCTTATATCAAATATATTAGGTAATGAATTGCGTGGCAGTCCTTCGGCTGCCAACTTCCGTAAGCGGACAAAATCAGCTTCACAGCCGAACACCAAAATGTGAACTTATATCGTGCGTTCCCGTTTCTATATTGAGCTCACGCTAATAGTTATCGGTACGGTAGAACAACTTTGTCATAACAATTTATTACTGTATTTTGTGGCACAAAGCTTCACAGAATAGCGAAAAATAATTTTTAAAACTGGAATTGCTCCTTGTTTCTGAAAATAAATGCGATTCTTTCAACCTGAACTCACTTCCATCTGAACAATTGCAGACAACATTTTCCGGTTCTGGAAGAGATATGTTTTATACCTTTTTTTACTTATTTTGGAGTTCCTCCATAGTATAATGCACATTAATAAACAACTTGGTTCTGTCATACGCAATAGTATAGGAAATTCCTTCGATATGAGACTAATTCCATTTCCGCGAAAATTAATGCCCATTTTTCTTAATAAACTTAACTTAAATGGTGATTTTCCTAACTTAAAAGCTTTCTTAGAATTAAATCAACTCAATGAATCACAATAGTGTTGCCAAATATATGCTGAAGTACCAAGTCAAATTTCATCATGAAAGTTGCACGGTCCTTAGCGACTACTGTACTTGTGTTTTGAGTTTATTGGTACGCAAGGATTTAGAACGGATGGTGTTAAGTGTGATAATTTCGCGGTCCAGGTTTCATCCAAGTGAATTGTCTGTGATAAGTAGCTGGATGCTACCAAATATTCATAATAGCCTAAAACAAAGATAATGGTTCCCGAAGAAAATGCCTATACTTTTAAAGAAATTCTACTGGCAACGTGCTACTACTTGTTCATCACCATTGCCGCCTCGGAGCTCTCATTACAAACTAAGGACGGAACTGAAATGTGGGCCAACGGGTGCTTGGAGATTGAAACAAACTACCAACTTCAGTTATTCTGACTGAGATTTTTGAGAAATTGAATAGACGCCTATGCAATCATACTTGATGCCCATATATTTAATTGATATCAATGGCTTATATAATGCACCCAGATTGTCATGTTCGTTTTTGCCAGTATTTCGCTGTTAATAAAATGTTAAAGGGCTCTGTCTATCTCCCCTAGATATACCGAATTAATCTGACTTATTTCAGCCGTCTGTCTTTCTTCTTCAATTTAGACTGTCGAAACTGAGTATGTACGAATCCTACAGGCGCTGCGATCATTGATCTCTACAGACCGAAATGCCATCGAAGGACGAGATCTGCCTGACGAACTCGTTGCTCTTTACGGGGGAAAATTGGCAGAACTGCGACAGGGTCTGACGTGTGTCATGGGCTCTCTGACTCGCATAAGGTAAGCGCACTGTGTCGCACGATAGTTCACTCCTGTGGCAGGCACCACGTAACAATCACTGTTTCGAGACGCAGTGCGGGCTTTGACATCGTTTACTTTCGTATAAACTGGAAGGCAGGCATCCTAAGAAATGTCCTTTCAAGGAAGGGCGTTCTTTATATGAGTTTCCTTTTACGTAATGTATCCTGTCAGATATGATTATTCAGGACGCTGATATGCCGATGCATGACACGAGATCTGCCGGGGTCATGGCACATTGGACAGAATGACTTTTCGGCAATTAGGGTGAGAGGTATGGATAACAGCTTTCCCAATTCGGTCAAGAGATTTCTTATCTGTTGCGGAATATTGTTTTTATTGCGATATAGTCGGAAGAAAGCATCTGCTAAATGGGTATATCGCTTTGTAATCAAAGCGGGAAGTATAATAGGAGGAAAATAAAAGCCTTAGAAGGTGAAGGCAGATCCGGGCTTAGTGTTAGTGTTCGATAAAAGGTACTCGACGAATGTAGTAAGCCAGTTTACGAATCGTAGAAAAAGGGGCTTAACTATGAGAAGACGCGAGGGATTTGGGAGTAGGGATAATACTTTAATAGCCAACAATTCAGACATTTGAGAGGATCGCTGTCGAAAAATACATCAGACTGATTTCTAAATATTCAGTGGATGAACCTTCTCCGACGACGGTGCCAAGACACAAATCAAGGCATCGTTGATAAACTGCATATGCATCTGTTTTTAATGATAACTCTATTGTCGGGATACCCATTGGGACAGTTATTTGGCGATCACAAGTCCTCAGTGGAAATTGAGCAGAATTCTGGGAATGTAATAGAACTTTTAGAGACTCCGCAGTTATAAGGAAGGACAGCAACTTTCCACTTACTAGCCTGGACGAAATGAGCGTACAATAATACATAAGCTCAGACATAATCCAGCTGGAGGAGGCGTAAGCACATGTTTTATTAAGGGAAGGATGGCACGGGACAACATTGAAGGCATCAAAGTATGCAGGCGGCACGTCTGCATACGCAATACAAACCATCGTCAGCTTCCTTTAGAGCAGACTGGACCTCAACAGTTCCAGCATCCAAGGTATAACACCCAGGTTTATATGCAGTTCGGAAAGGGTTTGAGAAAGTGAAGGAGAGTGGCACGCTGGCATGTAAGGTGACTTGCTCAGGGAGATTCAGAAGTGCAGAGAAACATGCGATTAAGTGGATGGATTTAGGGTAAAAATAGATAGCAGAGGTGTTAAAACAAGTGAATTAAGCAGATATTCTCATATTTAAGTTAAAAAGTCAATTTGGCAAACATAGGTTTTCATCAACTCTTCATCAGGCCAGGACATTTTAAAGGATAATGAAAGTTGTACAGTTGGACAGGGTTAATAAGTGTATTTTGATTAAAACTCATCGTATTCATGCCGCTCGCATGGTGAGCTCGGCCTGTAGAGGTCCTTACGATGGGGGAGGGGAGGAGCGGGCGAAATGTTCAATGTTTTGGGCATTGGACAGGGTTCAGGTACATAAAGTGATAATCGCTGTCATTTGCATTGAACGAACGGCTTTCACTAGGGTGTGGAGACGATGTGCGATCGCCATCTGGCGTCGGGGTCGGCCACGGGAAGCAAAGTGCTTTTGTCAGCATCTTCTGACAACTCAGCACTGGATATGCTAGCCGTATAGCCACTGCTTCGGTTGTTGCAAGCACCCGTTAGCAGAGGCCCTTGGAAAAGTTCGCTGGTGTCCGGTGGACAACCTGAAAGGCTTCATTAGTATCGACTCAATGATCCCTGTCGACAAGCTGGGCGAGAATAGAAATCGAGATAGATCTAGTTTCACCTTTACTTAATCAGGTCGGTATGTGCTCACGTACCGTCTTTTCCGGGCGCCATGTTATTCAGCGCCTGTGCTCCTGCTCCAGGGGAGCAAATGAAAGAGTAAATGGACATGGATGTGGCCTTCAACGGGTTTTGGTCTTTACCAACCCTGTTCAACTGTACGATTTCATAATCCTTGCTAATGTTTTGTCCTGATGAAGAGTTGCTGGAATATATGTTTGCCAAATCGACTTTTCTAAATAAGCAGAGATGCAGATAATGGTGGGGCACTTCCCAGCCAGGTAATTGTGGTTCCGCAGACATTTTAACGATGCTTCTCCTCCGTGTCCACAGGTCTAGAACGGAACGCCTTCAATATGTCAATATGTGCCAGTATTGTTTGCTGTCAGTAAGATGCTTAGGGTCCACCAAATGCCGGTGGAGGTTAGACAAGACGAAAGTTTGTTGGAAGAGTGGGCTGACTAAGAAACAGATACTTCATTTTCACATTTTTCCTTTTATTAGGATATCTGCATCCGAAGAAGAAGATGCGATCACTGGAACAAGGACTTTATTTTCCTGACGT